TTCTTATTTTATTCTTATTCTTATTCTTATTCTTATTCTTATTCTTATTCTTATTCTTATTCTTATTCTTATTCTTATTCTTATTCTTATTCTTATTCTTATTCTTATTCTTATTCTTATTCTTATTCTTATTCTTATTCTTATTCTTATTCTTATTCTTATTCTTATTCTTATTCTTATTCTTATTCTTATTCTTATTCTTATTCTTATTCTTATTCTTATTCTTATTCTTATTCTTATTCTTATTCTTATTCTTATTCTTAATCTTATTCTTAATCTTATTCTTAATCTTAATCCTTTTTTTATTCCTATTCCTATTCCTATTCCTATTCCTATTCCTATTCCTATTCCTATTCCTATTCCTATTCCTATTCCTATTCCTATTCCTATTCTTATCCTTATTCTTAATATTAATCCTTTTTTTATTCCTATTCTTATCCTTATTCTTAATCTTAATCTTAATCCTTTTTTTATTCCTATTCCTATTCTTATCCTTATCCTTATCCTTATCCTTATCCTTATCTTTTTATTCTTAATATTAATCCTTTTTTTATTGTTATTGTTATTTTGTATTTATTTATATTACTTAATTTTGTGATTATTTTTCTATTTTTTCTAATTATATTTATTAAAGACTATTTTCTAGTTTTTAATTTTTCTGATCTTAACTTTCTTATAATATATTTTCTTATTATTATTCTAATAAATGTCCTAATTAAATCTCTTATTTTTTTTACTTTTATTATATATTATCAATTTGAATTTAATATTCTTATTATTAATATTATTTTAATATAATATCTTATTATTATTATATATTTTCTTATTATTATAATAATAATAGCTCTTTATTTATATTTTAAATTTAATCTTCTTTTTATTTATTTTATATTAATAATTAATCATTTGTAATTTTAAATTCTTATTTATTTTTAATTAAAATATAATCTTATATTGAATCATTACTCTCTGTTTCTTCCTTATAATTTTTTTATTAAGAAATAAGTTATTAAAGTTATGTTTCAAATTTATTCCTAATATTAACAGATATTTAAGCAAATTTAGGTATGTTTGCATTTTTAATGCTTGATGTATTTATATTTAATTTTTTTAATTAATATTGTTATTAGTTTATGCTTATTTTGATTAATAATTAGAAAGATTTAAAAAAGAAAAATTTTAAAATGAATCATTATTTGATTATATTTAAGAATTTTTTACAGAATATTATTCCTTATTTATAATTTAAAAAGAAAATTCTTTTAATTATTCCATTTGTATTTTATTTTTATTTTAAAACGAAAATTTTTTATATATTTATAATTTTTTCTTTTTTCTTTTTTTAAAAAAATAAATAAAAAAATATATTTCAATTGTTTGTTATTTCAATTAAAATACGAGAATTAATAAAATGATTTTCTAAAAAAGAAAATAACTTTTTAGCTTTATTCATATTAGAATACTATAATTTATCATAACTCACTTTTCTTAAACAGAAAGTTTTAACAGGAACATCATAATAAAATATGAATTAATTCCTATATTTATTGTATTCGATTTTTTTTATTTTATGAAGCATTATTTTCTAATAATTTAGTAAGGAATTTTTCTAAAAATATAATAAAAATGAATATATATATATATATAAATTTATATATATATATATATATATATATATATATATATATATATATGTTTATATTTTACAGTAACATATACTAATCTAATATTTGTTAATATTATTTCCTTTATGCAATCTTTTAATTGAATTTCATCATAATAGATAATATTTTCATATTATTTAGGAAATGCTTTAAGTCGTCTTAATATATCTTTTCCATTATCTAATTTATATCTAAATTTTTAAATTTTATTATAAAATATCCTTGGTGGCCTACTTCTGTTTTCCATGATTTTTTCTTCATATATTGCAGAATTTTTAATTCCCTTTATTAATATATATATATGTTTATATATAAAAATATATATAATATTTTACATCACAAATACTAATTATAAAATCATATATTCCTACAGTAGGCTTAATAAAAATACTGACTATAGCTTAATAAGCTCCTATAAATATTCCAAAAAATCTATTTTATTAGCATTCTTCTATAGGTCTTAAAACAATACCAAATATTGTTTCTTATAAAATGCTTATGAAATTTTTAAAACCTAAATAAGAAATATATTGATATAATAAATATATATATATATATATATATATATATATATATATATATAAATATATATATACATATATATATTAATTTACCCACTACTAATCCAACATCAAAACTTTTTATTTATCTATTTAATCTTATACACCTTTCTTGTAAATATTACTTATGAAAAGTCATTCTGGCAAGAATTTTCATAAATAATCCTATATATAAATTTATAAATATATTTTAGTATTTATTTACCAGAAATTTTCTTTGCGATATCATAAATATGAGATATTGAATTGTAAACTAAAAAAGCAGCTCCAGTTGCAAAATGTTCAAAAGCTTATTTACCACTTCCTTTTGCGAGTGCTTTTATAGGATCATAGAACATTTTAGACATACTTTAAGTAATTTCATTTACAAGTTTTACAGGATTACCTATAACATCTATATAACCAAATATCTTGCAAAGTTCTATAATAAATTAATTACCATAGTGTTTTTTAAATCTAAGTTTAATAGATGATATAGTATCAAATAAATGCTATTATTCTAATGCATTTAAATTAATATTAGCCTGATCAATAGAAATTAATTAGAGACCTATATAAAAATAAATAAATAAATTTAAAATATATATATATATATATATATATGTATATTTATATTTATATTTTTATATATATATTATACCGAATTCTGATAAAAAAGATAAAGGAGAAAATGAGAACTCTTAATTATTTGAGATTTGTGAATCTAATTTGATTGTAAAACAAAAATTAATTGGCTATATATTTAGTTATTTAATATATATTGCTTTTTCTGTTTTGTTATCTTTGTTTAATTGATAATCATAATTTTATAATTATTTGAATTAATCAAAAATTGAATTTGCCTATTTTTTAGTGTATTTTGAATTAGATTAAAGTATTTTATTTATTTATTTCCTTAATTGATTCAAAGAAGACATTACTTAATTGTCTAATCTTAACTCAAAATGGTCTAGAAATATCTAAACATAGTTTATCCAATTTGTTTCTTCGTTTTAAAAGTTATCGTAGTAATTTTGTAAATGAAGAGATTCGCAATCTAGTTCTTATTAGCTTATATTATTAGTTTCGAGATTTATTGTATCGAGTTTTTAGATTTACCTTATATTTTGAGGTATTTATTAGTTTATTTATATATATTTAGACTAATATAATGAATTTGTTGTTATGTTTTTACGTATTTATTCATATTATTATGTAATAATAGTTTTTTATTTAGACAAGACATTATTACTTGATATTTTTTTTTATAAATAAGTGGTTTATGTTTTTTTAAGACAATACTATTTTTTTCTTATATATCATTATTTTTAAACTCATATTCATTTTTTTTTTCGTTTAATAATAACTTTTTATATTTTTCCAATTTATTTGAAAGAAAAAGAATGGCGAAGGTTTATTTCCTTTCTTAAAAAAAATAGATATACATATAAAAAAATAATAAATATATATTTATATATATATATATATATATATATATATATATTTATATTTATATTTATATTTATATTTATACTTTTATTTTATCGGATGCAAATATTACGGGAAATTAAGCGTCTATAATCGAATTATTTATAAAGATATTATCTATACTAAATTACATGAATTTATTTTATGTTTATTTAGTTATTTCATATTATGTTTTTTTTTATTCATTTTATATAGTAAAACTATTATTTTATTTTTAAAAAGACTATTTAGTCTCCTCATGATCTTTTTCAATAAAATCTTCCTGAGATTATAAAAATTAAACGTTTTTTAAAGTCAGGGAAAAAAGCTCAAGATTATAGTCATCTATTATACTTATTCCTATTATATTGTTTATATTTAATTTAAAAAAGAAATTCTTTTGTAATTTTGGTTTATTTTCATACTCGGTTTATTCGTTATTTTTTTATATGAAAAATGTTATTTCCTTTAAATTAAAAATATACTTTTATTTTTATATATTTTTATACCATTGTACCATTTTATGGCTCTATTTTAAAGTCTATCTTTTATTAATTATTATTTATTTAAATTGATTATTAAATACAATTAAACCATTCCTATAATTCTTCTTAATTACCATCATTTTTAAAGAAAAACTTCTTCTTTTTATCATTAACTAGTATAAATCCTTATCTTTCTTACTCCAATTTGGCTCCTAGAAGGCTTAGACTATATACCTTAACATTAGAGCTATTATAAAGTCTAATTTTTTACTTAAAGATGTTCAAGACACACATAAAAGTGACAAATGAATCTCTAAAATTATCACAAACTTAAATTAATCCTTTTTTATAAAGTGATTGGTTTTCATTATTTCTGATTTAATTGTATTATTACCCATATTCGAGAATTAAAGGGAGATTTTCTTAAGGTTTATCTAAATTATAGACTTTTTTGATTTTTTCGATTTCTATTTGTATCATTTTTTCAGTTTAAATTACCCAAAAATCCCATGTAAACCTAATTCTTTAGTTTTATTTAAGTATTTTTTTCTAAGTTTAGTATTTTTAAGTGTTTTTTTTACAACATTATAATATTCTGTTTTTATTCTCTGGTATATATTGTTATATATATATATCATATTTTGTTTTATTATATATTATATATGGAGGAGTCTTTTTTTCATAAAATTTCACATATATAGCCAGTTTTTCTAAACTAACGTGGACTGTAATGTATTTGTAGTATTTTTAATTACTTTTTTTCGAATAAAAAGGTACTTTAATTGTAAATTCACCCACCTCGTTTATTTTAAAGATGTTAGAGTGGAATATTTTGGAGGTTTCGGCTATTTTTTCATCGTCCTAAATTGAACTTTTTTCACTTTTGTCTTTTTTTGAGTTGATTATTTAGATGCGAAGTGATTAATCCTTTTGAATATTATTTTTCTAAAACCAATATAATTGTTAGGTTTATAAAGGAAATAAGTGAATTATGTTTTTTTCCTGATTAAATTTTTTTTAAGAATCGGAAAATAATAAAACTCCAATTTCATATTAAGTTTAATTAAAAAGCATATATTTAGGTGAAATCTATATTATGTTGGTATGATAGAATTTACCTGTGCCTTATATTATACTTATATTCATTTCATATATCTTTAAATTAAATATATATATATATATATATATATATATATATATATATATATATATATATATATATATATAATTTTTTTATAATATTTTATATATTTATATTTATATATATATTTTTACTTTTTTCCTTTTTAAATAAGTATACATTTATCGTTTTTTTAAGAAAGCTTTATTTATTCAGATTTTATATATTATTATTCTTAATCTTATTATTAGTTTGCTATATATATTTGGAGATTATTAGAATTTTTTTAGGGGGTATAAATTGATATTTTATCTTATATTTTGTCTTAGATTTTATCTTCTATAGGTATTAGATAACCCTCTTTTTTAAAAACTAAGGGTAGGGAGGTTTTATTATAAAGGACAAAAGGGAAATATAGATGAATTTCACGAGAGTTTTTTGATTTTCGGATGATTTCTATATGTAGAGTATGTTTAAATGTTTTCGGGAGGTTTTTAAAATGTTATAAATAAGATAATTCTAGTGTATATATTTTTTTCTATTTTTTTAAAAATAAAGGTATTTATATTGAATAATCTTTAGATTCTTCGAATTTAATTAAAAATGATAGGTTATTTTCGACTGAAAAAAAGGAATATTCGCAAAAAATCTAATCTGCTTTTAAAATGAACTCTTTTGGGTGTTTTTTATATATTACTATTTAATTAATTTTTATTTTCTAAAAAGCTTTATATTTTTTCGTCATATTTTTATATGTTTTATGTATTTTAATATATGTTTTTTTCATTATTTGTAAAAAGCCTATGTATTTTTTAATCATATTGTTATATTTAATCATCATTTTATTATACTTTTTGATTGTATTTTTATATTTTTTCATTAAATGAATTTAAATTGTTTATTTTAAAAATGTTTTTTTATGAATTTTCTATATTATTATTTAAATTATTTTTGTCTATATATTTTAATGTGTTTTTTAATTAAATACTAAGGTTTTTAATAGTACAATTGACTATTTTTAATATAGGAATAATCTTAATTTAAGTCTCAAATAATATTTATTTATCTTTCTCAAATAAAGAAGTCGTAAATTATTTAATTTTGGCTATTTTTAATAGGAAATTCATATTTTATCCAGTTTATATTAAAAAATCTTATTTATTTATATATTTCTTTCCATTTTTATCTATAAAATAGTCATTTTAGTAGTCTTTTTTTCTAATTAAAGTCTCTAAATCGTAAAAATATTCATTTTTTTCATTTTATTTTGGGAAAGAGAATGATATTAGGGATTTGTTTTGTAAATAAAAAAGAGGTATTTCAAAAGAATTGTTTTTGCTAATGAAAAAATGCTTTATTTTTGAAGAAATTTCTTACGGATTTTATATTAAAAATTTCTGTAAATCAAAACGGTTTTTCGTCAAATTTTGAACACTTTATTTCATTATTTCTGCAGAATTTAATAATGGAAGTTTGATTTTACAGTCTAGATTGTTTATAAAGGATATAGTGGAACTTAAATTAATTATCTTTGACCCATCAGATTGGTCTATGCGAATATCTATGGCTAAGTATTCCTAAAAGGAAGGATATAAGTATTTTTTTTACTGTTAAATTTGCATCTTTTAGTCTATATTCTCCTCGTTTTTTTTTAGGTTATCATCAGAAAGCTTCTCTAATTATAAGAAATATTTACCCACAGAGTCTAGTGAAATATTTTTGATTGCGCGGTATTCGGAGAGGTTCGAAATTATGATTTTTTAGCTTTTTTTTGGATATTTTTAGGAGGGATTTTAGGAAAAGGATTTTTCTTTAGAAAAAAGAGATTAAAAGCTATAATCGTAGTCTTATGAGAAATTGAGAGATTATTCTGTGTTTTATTTAGTTTTAGAAGACTTCAAATATTAAAAATGAATTTAATTATTTAAGTCTTTTGCAATTGAAGTATAATGCTCTTATTCAAGTTTTTTAATTTAAAGATATTTTTATTCTTTTAATATATTAAAATTTATGCAAAAACATTTATTTTGTTTATTCCTTTTCTCAATTTCTGGAGGACATATAGATTTCTCTTTACCTCTTTTTATAAATTATTATAATAAATCTTATATAGGAAGTTTATTTTCATCTTCTTTTAATGTATATATTAGACCATATCCAGTATTATTTTGAATTTTATAAGGATCTTCTTTACTTTTGTATTTCTCTGTGTATATATTAAATGCTTCATATGCTGTTTCTATAAATGAGGTACTTAAGTTTATATTTAATGAATTCTTTAAAAATATAAAAATAAAATGATAAATATAATTAAATATATATATTTTTTATAAATAATATATGCAAATATATATATATAAATATATATATATATATATATATATATATATATATATATATATATATAGTTATTTATTTTTATTTTAAATTTATTAAATTTATTTAGTATTAATTTAAATATTAAATATGATTTTAATTAATAATTATTTCTTTTTTTATAAAATTTGTTTGTAAAATTAAAAAATATTTCACATATAAATTTATTAATTATAAAATTACGTCAAAGTCAGATATTTCTTATTCTTTTTCATTTTTTTAGAAATTTCTTATTTCTAGATTTTATTCTATATGGCCATCTTCTTGACAGGTTTCTTTTTTTTTTATTTAAAAAGTCCAAGGCTCTATAAAAAGTTCATAAAATGATTTTCTTATATAAAAAATTAAATAAAAATTTAAAAATATAATAATAAAAATATATATATATAGATATAAATATAATATATATAAATATATATATATATATATATATATATATATATATATTTATATATACGTATATTATTTTACCTTTTATTAAAATACTTAACCTTTAATCTTAATTTTAAACCAAGAATAGAATTTTTTTATTTTTAAATTTATTTAAAAACTAGATTTTATATAATTATTTTGCACATTTAATGTCCATAATTATTTTTTATTATTTCTATTTTTAATTTTTTAGATTTTATGCGGAAAGTGCTTACACATTATTCTTTTTGTTATTAAAGTTTTTCATATATTTATTCTTATGTAAGTCTTTAAGTCTTTATTTATATAATATTTTTTATTACTTTTATATATATATATATATTTTACGTCATATTTTTAAATTATAAATGGGAAAGTTTATAAATCATTGTTTTATTGTTCTTGTGATATTTGTTTATATATTGAATTTTTTCTAATAAAACTAAATGTTGATTTTTTTAGTATATTTTTTATTATATTGACTATTTATTTTAGAAAACTTACATTCAGAATAATATTTCTGAATTTATTAAGGTTTTTATCATTTAGTATTTCTAGTTGAATGTTTTAGTATGATTATTTGATATCATTTGGTTCATATTTTTTTTCTACTACATATATTTTTTTGAATAATATTTAAAAAGGATTTATTAAATTTTATTTGAATTCCATTTAATCGATTTCTTTTTAAATATTTATTTATCTTACATATTAAACATTATCATTTTAAATATTAGATTATGAAATTTATTATTCACTAGATTTATCTAAATATACAGATTAATTCTCTTTTTCTTATTTTTTTAATAATTATTAAATAAATTATATATTCTATTTTTATTCATTTTGTTATTAATAATATTATTTCATATATAAATGGTTAGCTTTACACATTTAAGCTTTATTTAAAATAACATTTAAATCCTTTATATATATATATATATTTGAATATGTATATATTATATATATATATATATATATATATATATTATAAATACCATTTTAACGCTTCCTGGCCCATAAAAAGAATCTCCAATCCATTCTTATAATAAAGAAACATCTAAATTTACAGCTAAGCATAATTGATTTTAATCTTTAAAATCTTAAAGTAATATTGTCCATAAATCTTAAATCTAATATATTTATATTAAATTTATATATAGATATGCATATACATTTATATATTTTTATATTGAAATTGTTTTTACTTATATATTTAAAATCATAGGTAAGTAATTATTAAATTATGGTGTTCTGAAAAATTATTTATTTAAAATATCATCGGAACCATTAAATGGTGTTTTAAAATATTAAATTAATTCATTAATATAATCAGAAATACATATAATGTTTTTATTAAAAAGATGAATTTTAATAAGTTTTTCGCCTTAATTATCAGATATAAAAGCAAGTTTAAAGTCAACTTTTTCGTTATTTTGATTTGGAATTTAATACATTTAATATTCTCGAAATATATTAAATTAGTTATCCATATAATCAAATTAATATAAAAATTCATTACTTGTATCTTTTATATTTTTTTCTATTAAAATAATATTAAAAGTGAATAAAATATATAAAAATTATTAAAATATATTATTATATATATACAAATATATATTTTATATATTTTTTTACTTTGACATTCCTATATATTATTAATTACGAAATTTGTTTATATTTATTATTTCTAATCATTTGATAAATCACTATTTATAATTTATATTAGTAGTTATTCGTTTTCAGATTCTATTTTAATAGATAATTTAGAAAACAAAAATATTATATATATATATATATATATATATATATTTATATATTTATATTATATACTTAAATTTGTATATAAATTCATTTTTTCTGAAATTTATTTAGTTTTTTTTTTTCTTTTTTTACAGAAAAAGCATTTACTTTTTACATAATTTATTATTTTTTTAAGAAACTATTACTTTTATTATTTTCTTTTTAATTAATATTTTCTTCTTTTTTAAATAATATATTATCCTAACTTGAATTGTCTAGAATTATATTATTTGAATATTTATAGTTTTCTGAAAACGCATTGAAATTATCTCCATCGAAATCTTCTTTTATATTTAAATCTTAACTAGGAATTGATATATTTTCTTCTTTCTTTTACTCAAAAGTCTATTTTTTATCATATATTTAATACTCACTGACATCAAATAGTATTTTTTAATTACATAATTAAGAATTTAGCCTAAAATCATCTATATCTATTTTATTTACCCACATTTTCATTAATTTTCCGCCATTTTCTTTCATATAAAAATGATATATAAGTCCTTATATTTTTATTTCGCATAAACTGGAAGGATTTTAACTAATAAATGGATTTATATGGAATCCTTTATTATTCATTTATTCAATAAATTTATCGAATTTTTTGTTTACTTAGAATTTCTGAAAATTATTATTATTATTTTCGTCATATTCTTCAGACTGTTTTTGGAAAAAATTCTTTCTTTTTTCATATTTTTGATACGGTGATTAATCACTACGAATAGTTCTGGTAGTCTTAAATAACTAAGGAAGGGTTTATTCAGTCTATAAGTATTCATCTTTATATATATAATCAAATTTATCAACTAAATATGCCAAAAGAGTATCTCTTTATCCTTAAAAACACCTTAAATTGATTTAAAAGGCTTCTATATCTAAAAATTACCAAATCTAATATTAATATATAATGTAAATAATATATATATATATATATATATACATACATTATTTTATTATAAGGGAGATTTTTATATATTATGGAAGATATTTCTTGGATTTTCAATAAGATTTTCTTAAAAGATTTTAATTAAAATTAAATATTCGAAATCGTATATAAAAAGTGAAATTTCTTATATTATTACTTTTATTTTCATTGGTAATTCCTCTTTATTTTATTAAATATCAGTATATTATTCAAAAAAGTCATCTTTAAGATTAATAAAAATTTTAATGGGAATATTCTCATTTGATTATAAAAAAAGACTCTTTTTTTCTTGTTTTTGGGATGAAAAACCTTGCATTTCCCATATATAAATCTTCTATATTTCATCTTTTTTTTTCCCATTTTCACTCTCTGAAGTAAAAGACTCATTTACAAAAGCGTTTTTTTCTTATATTTACTCATAATAGTGTTTTCCTGTATCTATTAACCCTCCCTTAAGTATTTCTTAGCCCCATATACCTGTAAACCAGTACCCTAATTTATAAAAAGTAAGAAATAAAGCATCTTTAGATAAAGAATTTCTATAGAGTGCTATAGAAGAACTTATTAAGGCAATTTCTATTAAAAATTTGGAGTTTTATTATTAATTTTATAGGTTATTAGGATTTTCAATTGAATTTTTTTTTAAAGGGAAGTGCTATTAAAAATCAAGATCGTGAATTTTTCGGATATAAAAATGACTTCTTTTTTTTAAATAAAGCTTAAATTCTTCGTTTATTTTTGTTTCTAAACTCTTTAATAGGTAATTTCTTATATATACTTAAATTTCACTTATATTTCTTTATAAATATATAAGGTTTCCATTTGTAAGTTTTATACCTATATATATATATATGAACATATTAAATTATAAATTAACTATAATACCTAAATATTAATCAAATAATTATATATTATCTAATTTATTTGATATTTAAAATTCTAGAGATAGTTAATTTAAGTTGTTTTCATTATTTCCAATTAATCTATTAAAAAATAATATACAAGTATTAAATTAATTACATATATATATATATATATATATATATATATAATTATATATATATATAAATATTTATTTTAATATTTATATATATAATAATATTAGTATTTTTATTTACTTTCTATGAATTCCTGTATTTTATGAAATATCGAAAAAACTTAAATCCTCTCCAATTATCATTAGATAAATAGTATCAGTTTTATTCTTTTATTATTAAAATATATATATATATATATATATATATATAATTTTATTACTTTTATACACATTTTTATATCTTAGATATTTAAAAGAAAAAGTTCTTTTCTATTTTATTAAATGTTATGAAATAAAAGACATGAAACAGATAAAAAAAAAGCTTAAATATTATATTTTTTATCATCTTTTGAGTAAACATTTAACTAATATAATTAAATATAAATTATTATTATTAAATATATATATATATATATATATATATCTTTATACTTAATCTTCTATATTTAAATTAGGACAAAATCCTTTTAATTACATAAATTCTTTAAAATCTGCTATTCTTTAAGTAACATAACAATTTTAAACTTCTAAAATAGTTTTTAAAAATTCCATACTTTTTGGTTCTATATTAAGTATTAAATTTTATAGATAAATTTTAATTTAGACACTTTCTATTTAATCTAAGAATGCATTTTTATATTCTTCGTCATCATATATAGTTATTTATATTAAAATATCAGGATTTTCTTAATCTTAAAATATAGAATTTTCAGAATCTAATAAATTTTGAATTGTTTCTTATTCATTTTAAAATTATTATTATTATAAATTATTTTTATTTTTTAAAAAATGAGCTAAAATAAAGTCTTTTCCACAAAAATTGCAATATTCTTCTCTTTTTTCATCATTTTTTTCATAATTTTTTTCTTCTTTTTCTTCATCTTTTTTTTCATTTATTTTTTAATCTTTTTAATCTTTTTTTTAATCTTTTTTTTCTTCTTTTTTTTCTTCCTTTTTTTCATCTTTTTTTTTATCGTTTTTTTCATTATTTTGTATATCATTTTTTTCATCATTTTTTTAATTATTTTTTTCATTTAATAAAACAATTTACAAGTCACTTTTCGCAAGTTTTTTCGAACATTTTTCCTTTAGAAAATCTAGAATATTAAACTGAAAACAATTTCGTGTTTAAATAATACACTAAAAGACTTTAAATTAATAAGATGTTTCGAAGTATTTATTTTTTAAAATTAGTTAAATTTAACAAAGGGAGAATTGAAAAATTTACTTTTAATGAATTGTATTTTTTTATGATAAAAAAAGATCAAAATTAACCTAAATACCTTAAAAAAGAACTTCAAATTAATCAAAAACATGCTCCTATAGATGCTTTTTAATACTATTTTCATATTATATATATATTTTAGACTTATTTTCCTCTTCTTCTTAAAAAAAAGCCTTTTTTTTGAGTGAAAAGCTCCAAATTTTACATAAATAATGCATTATTTATAATTATTTTACAGTAATATTTAATATGAAAAAAGGAAGTTCTAAAAAATATTTA